TGACATTCAGAATGGAAGATATCCCTCTTTTGATTTTGGTTGCTAAGGTGCTCTACAATGGTTGCTAGGGCGTTGACAGTAAGTGTTGAGGTGATTCAGGATTGGACTGTTTGCTGGCCCAAGTCAAACGAGCCCACCCTCATGTTTCTATGACACTTATATCCTGAGATACCCTTTGATCTAATTCAATGGAAGTCTATGGGAGTTGTTGCTAATGTGCTCTAAATGGTTGCTAGGGCGTGGCTTAATAGCTTCATAATGATCCTGAGAGACTGATTGTCGTCTGAGTAAAATGAGCCGCCCCCTTGTCTCTATGACACTGTGATCCAGAGCTATGTTCAATACAAAATCCCTATGCAATTTACCATAGTAGGAAAAAACACATGCATTTTGATGGGACGTCCTTCACCATAGTAAGTCAATGGGGAAACTTTGGCAGCTCCTGCCCCCAGGGTGCAACTTTTACCCCATTGTGTGGTATGTTCTTAAAGAGCCTGCCAGCCTCTTCAAATGTGGCAAATCTCACGTTTGTCCGATATCCTTGTTTGGAGCTACGAGTCGTCAAAGTTTGTCTCAATGTTAAGTCTATGGATTTTTGGAAATTTGTTTCGCCCCTGGGTCGAACACCGTACCCCGATCACTGATAAAAGTGATATGACACTTCTCCTCAATAGCCGCACGATTGATGCCTCATTCATGGGTCTGTGACAAAAACTGTGGACGTAGAGTGCTCCAAACTTTTTCCTGGAATAGTAAAATGCTATACTAGAAAATTTTCAATGGGAAAAATTTGGGGAGCTCCTGCCCCCCAGGGGTGCAACTTTTACCCCATTGTGAGGTATTTTCTTAAAGAACCTGTTAGCCTCTTCAAATGTGGTAAATTACACATTTCTGCGAAATCTCGCTCAGAGCTATGAGTCGCCAAAATTTGTCGTAATGTTAAGTCTATGGGATTTTTTGGGCCGTTTTTCGCCCTGGGGCGAACATCGTACCCCGATCGCTTATAAAAGTCATAGCACACCTCTCCTAAATAAGCCGGTCGATTTGACGCCTCACCCATGGGTCTCTGACAAAAGCTGCGGGAGGAGTAGCGAACAGAAAAACGGCGGAACAATTAAGAATAAGAATAAGAACTAGAATGTACATTTCCAGAGGAAAATGTGAAGTGGTGCTTGCAGTGGCAAAAAGCTCGCTCGGTTGCTAGAGTGTTGTACAGAATTGCATATGAGACAACAACCATGTCTGTACGATGTTCTGGTGCTGAGATGTGGCTTATTTTCATGTGTTTGTAGGGTACTAGGGCACCTATATGGTTGCTATGGTGTGATTATACAGTTTATGAGTTAATATTTTAAAGACTAGTTGACAGTCTGAGTCAAAAAAAGGCAAAATCCATGTTTCTTCTATTTTCTGGAGCTGAGATATGGCTTGAATATGTTGTTTTATGGTTGCTAGGCTGCCCTAAGTGGTTGCTAGGGCGTGAATATGAAGTTACTATGTCACTAATTGTTAGCTGCATGATAGGCTGAGTCAAAAGAGCCCAACCCCAAGTTTCTATGACCTTCTGGTCAAAAGATATGATCTCACAAATTTGGTGCCAATGTTAAGTCTATGGGACTTTTTCTGTCCGATTTATCGCACGCCAGACGAACATCGTACAACCGATCGCTTAGAAAAGTCATAGCACACCTCTCCTAAATGAGCCGGTCGATTTGACACCTCATTCATGGGTCTACGACAAAAGATGCGGGAGGAGTAGCGTGCCAAAGTTTTGTCTTGGAGAATAGTATTCACAACACTAGAATGTACATTTCCAGAGGAAAATGTGAAGTGGTGCTTGCAGTGGCAAAAAGCTCGCTCGGTTGCTAGAGTGTGGTACAGAATTGCATATGAGACAACAACCATGTCTGTACGATGTTCTGGTGCTGAGATGTGGCTTATTCATGTGTTTGTAGGGTTACTAGGGTACCCTATATGGTTGCTATGGTGTGATTATACAGTGTATGAGATGATATTTAAAGACTAGTTGACAGTCTGAGTCAAAAAAGGCAAAATCGATGTTTCTTCTATTTTCTGTAGCTGAGAAATGACTTGAATATGTTGATTTATGGTTGCTAGGCTGCCCTAAGTGGTTGCTAGGGCGTAAATATGAAGTTATTATGTCTCTACTTGTTGGCTGCATGATAGGCCGAGTAAAAAGAGCCCAACCCCAAGTCTCTATGACCTTCTGTTCAAAAGATATGATCTCACCAATTTTGTGCCAATGTTAAGTCTATGGGACTTTTTCTGTCCGATTTATCGCCCGCCAGACGAACATCGTACAACCGATCACTTAGAAAAGTCATAGCACACCTCTCCTCAATGACCGGGTCGAGTTGACACCACATTCATGGATCTACGACAATAAATGCGGGAGGAGTAGCGTGCCAAAGTTTTGTCTTGGAGAATAGTATTCACAACACTAGAATGTACATTTCCAGAGGAAAATGTGAAGTGGTGCTTGCAGTGGCAAAAAGCTCGCTCGGTTGCTAGAGTGTTGTACAGAATTGCATATGAGACAACAACCATGTCTGTACGATGTTCTGGTGCTGAGATGTGGCTTATTCATGTGTTTGTAGGGTTACTAGGGCACCCTATATGGTTGCTATGGTGTGATTATACAGTTTATGAGTTAATATTTAAAGACTAGTTGACAGTCTGAGTCAAAAAAGGCAAAATCCATGTTTCTTCTATTTTCTGGAGCTGAGATATGGCTTGAATATGTTGTTTTATGGTTGCTAGGCTGCCCTAAGTGGTTGCTAGGGCGTGAATATGAAGTTACTATGTCACTAATTGTTAGCTGCATGATAGGCTGAGTCAAAGAGCCCAACCCCAAGTTTCTATGACCTTCTGGTCAAAAGATATGATCTCACAAATTTGGTGCCAATGTTAAGTCTATGGGACTTTTTCTGTCCGATTTATCGCACAGACGAACATCGTACAACCGATCGCTTAGAAAAGTCATAGCACACCTCTCCTAAATGAGCCGGTCGATTTGACACCTCATTCATGGGTCTACGACAAAAGATGCGGGAGTAGCGTGCCAAAGTTTTGTCTTGGAGAATAGTATTCACAACACTAGAATGTACATTTCCAGAGGAAAATGTGAAGTGGTGCTTGCAGTGGCAAAAAGCTCGCTCGGTTGCTAGGGTGTTATGGGTGGTTGCTAGGGTTTCTGGGTGGTTGCTAGGGTGTTGCTAGGTGGTTGCTAGGGTGTTCTGTGTGTTGCTAGGGGTTGCTAGGCGGTTGCTAGGGGTGTTCTGGGTGGTTGCTATGGTGTTGCTAGTGGTTGCTAGGGTGTTCTGAGTGGTTGCTAGGGTGTTGCTAGGTGGTTGCTAAGGTGTTCTAGGTGGTTGCTAGGGTGTTATAGATGGTTGCCAGGGTGTTGCTAGGTGGTTGCTAGGGTGTTCTGGGTGGTTGCTAGGGTGTTGCTATGTGGTTGCTAGGGTGTTCTATATGGTTGCCAGGTGTTGCTAGGCGGTTGCTAGGGTGTTCTGGGTGGTTGCTAGGGTGTTATATAGATGGTTGCTAGGTATTGGTAGGTGGTTGCTAGGGTGTTCTGAGTGGTTGCTAGGTGTTGCTTGGTGTTCTGGTTGGTTGCTAGGGTGTTGCTAGGGGTTGCTAGGGTGTTCTGTGTGGTTGCTAGGGTGTTGCTAGGTGGTTGCTAGGGTATTCTTGGTGGTTGCTAGGGTGTTGCTAGGTGGTTGCTATGGTATTCTGGGTGGTTGCTATTGGTGTTACTAGGTGGTTGGTAGCGTTCACATATTTACTATAGAGTTTTTATAACATTCATGGCATGATTTAGCACTTAGCTAATCAATATTAGCATGTAGCTATTCACTGCTAGCATGTGTAGCATGTAGCAAGTCATGTTTGCTAACATGAGTAAAAAGAGCCAAACCCCATCTCTATACGATGTTTTGATGCAGAGATATAGGTCTTGAAAAACGGTTGCTAGGGTACTCTGTTTGGTTGCTAGGGAGTGGCTTGGCAGCTGCCAATCATGAAGCTCCAAAGTCAATGTGAATGTATAAACCAACCCCCATCTCTATACGATGTTTTGATGCAGAGATAAAGTCTTGCAAAATGGTTGCTAGGGTACTCTATTTGGTTGCTAGGGAGTGGCTTGGTAGCTGTCAATCATGAAACTCCAAAGGCTGCTTGTCAGTATGAATGATATAAACCAACTCCCATGCCTCTATGACATTCAGAATGGAAGATATGCCACTTTGGATTTTGGTTGCTAAGGTGCTCGATAATGGTTGCTAGGGCATGGCCAGAAATTGTTGAGGTGATTCATGATTGGCTGTTTGCTGGCCCAAGTCAAACGAGCCCACCCTCATGTTTCTATGACACTTCTATCCTGAGATATCCCTTTGATCTCTTTTAATGGAAGTCTATGGGAGTTGTTGCTAAGGTGCTCTAAATGGTTGCTAGGGCGTGGCTTAATAGCTTCACAATGATCCTGAGAGACTGATTGGTCATCTGAGTAAAATGAGCCCACCCCCTTGTCTCTATGACACTGTGATCCAGAGCTATGTTCAATACAAAATCCCTATGCAATTTACCATAGTAGGAAAAACACATGCATTTGATGGGACGTCCTTCACCATAGTAAGTCAATGGGGAAAACTTTAGGCAGCTCCTGCCCCCCAGCGGTGCAACTTTTACCCCATTGTGTGGTATGTTCTTAAAGAGCCTGCCAGCCTCTTCAAATGTGGCAAATCACACATTTGTCCGAAATCCTCGTTCGGAGCTACGAGTCGTCAAAGTTTGTCTCAATGTTAAGTCTATGGGATTTTTTGGAAATTTGTTCGCCCCTGGGGCGAACACCGTACCCCTGATCTCTTATAAAATTCATATGACACTTCTCCTCAATAGGCCGCACGATTTGATGCCTCATTCATGGGTCTGTGACAAAAAATGTGGACGTAGGAGTGCTCCAAACTTTTTCCTGGAATAGTAAAATGCTATACTAGAAAATTTCAATGGAAAAAATTTTTGGGGAGCTCCTGCCCCCCAGGGGTGCAACTTTTACCCCATTGTGAGGTATTTTCTTAAAGAGCCTGTCAGCCTCTTCAAATGTGGTAAATTGCAAGTTTCTGCGAAATCCTCGCTCAGAGCTATGACTCGTCAAATTTTTTCACCATGTTAAGTCTATGGGATTTTTTTTTGGCCGTTTTTCGCCCCTGGGGCGAACATCGTACCCCCGATCTCTTAGAAAAGTCATAGCACACCATTCCCGAATAATCCGCACGTTTTGACACCTCACCCATGGGTCTGTGACAAAAGCTGCGGGAGGAGTAGCGCGTCAAAAGTGACCAGAACAATAAGAATAAGAATAATAAATAACATTGGGGTCTATGGGGAAAATTTGGGCAGCTCCTGCCCCCCAGGGGTGCAACTTTTACCCCATTGTGAGGTATGTTCTTACAGAGCCTGTCAGCCTCTTCAAATGTGGTGAATCGCAGGCTTCTGTGAAATTCTCGCTCGGAGCTATGAGTCGTCAAAGTTTGTCGCAATGTTAAGTCTATGGGATTTTTGGGAAATTTGTTCGCCCTTCGGGCGAACATCGTACCCCCGATCGCTTAGAAAAGTCATAGCACACCATTCCCGAATATTCCGCACGTTTTGAGACCTCATTCATGGGTGTGTGACAAAAACTGCGGGAGGAGTAGCGTGCCAAACTTTTGGGCCGGCTCCAAAAAACACAATAGTAATAGTGTTGCCTTGCTTTCAGCAAGCACCACTAATAATAAATAACATTGGGGTCTATGGGAAAATTTGGGCAGCTCCTGCCCCCAGGGGTGCAACTTTTACCCCATTGTGAGGTATGTTCTTACAGAGCCTGTCAGCCTCTTCAAATGTGGTGAATCGCAGGCTTCTGTGAAATTCTCGCTCGGAGCTATGAGTCGTCAAAGTTTGTCGCAATGTTAAGTCTATGGGATTTTTGGGAAATTTGTTCGCCCTTCGGGCGAACATCGTACCCCCGATCGCTTAGAAAAGTCATAGCACACCATTCCCGAATATTCCGCACGTTTTGAGACCTCATTCATGGGTGTGTGACAAAAACTGCGGGAGGAGTAGCGTGCCAAACTTTTGGGCCGACTCAAAAAACACAATAGTAATAGTGTTGCCTTGCTTTCAGCAAGCACCACTAATAAGTTTAAATAGCATTTCAGTAAGTTGGCTTTCCCAAGCCAACTTAATAAGTTTAAATAGCATTTCAGTAAGTTGGCTTTCCCAAGCCAACTTAATAATAATTTAGTGCTGATTTAAAAATGTGTCTGAAACTGCTCCCTATATAGTGCACTACATCGGTGTCTGAACTCTGAGTGAATGACATCACTTCCTACATTCGTTCACTACTTTTACCCACAATCCTCTCTGAATTCAAGGGTACACTCGATGTACACTTGCTGAAGCACTATTTCCCACAATGCAATGCAAGAGGACCGAGAGATTGTAACCAGATTACTGTGAGCTTTCTGATTTCTGCTTTAACGTTTACTTCATGCTAGTTTAATGGGGGTTTCAGCGTCTCTTAGCTCCGCCCTCAAACACTGGAGTGTATCTGAGAGAGTTCGGCTCGTGTTGTTCGTGTTTTCTGAGATCGATACGGTGAACCCACGCCATCGTTACTGTTCGTATCACTGTGAGAGTGTGTGACCAATCACAGCAGAGCAGCTCTCAGAGAGGCGGGGCTTAGAGAGACTGAATCCTCGATCGAGGCGTTTCAGACGCTGCCGATTATAGATTATAGATTATAGATCATGAGGACATGAGTGTGTGTTTGAGCTGGAATGAATGTGAACCAAACGGCAGCAGGAGACTTTAAAGCAGAACTGGACTTTAAATGGTTTTTCCTCTCCAACTAAATGTGCTTAATGTGTGTGTCTAAAGGCGACGGGCCACTGTGTCCTGTGATGCGTCTCATGACTAACCATGAGAGGACACGTGTGTGTGTGTGTGTGTGTGTGTGCTGCAGGGCTCTAATTGCCAGTGAGTGATGCTGTGTGTGTGTGTGTGTCTCAGTGAAGTGTGTATCTGATGTGTGTGTGTGTGTGTCTCAGTGAAGTGTGTATCTGACGTGTGTGTGTGTGTGTGTGTGTGCTGCAGGGCTCTAATTGCCAGTGAGTGATGCTGTGTCAGTGTGTGTGTGTGTGTGTCTCAGTGAAGTGTGTATCTGATGTGTGTGTGTGTGTGTGTCTCAGTGAAGTGTGTATCTGACGTGTGTGTGTGTGTGTGTGTGTGTGCGCTGCAGGGCTCTGGTCGCCAGCTTGCGATGCTGTTTTTATGTGTGTGTGTGTCAGTGTTTCTCAGTGAAGTATGTATCTGACGTGTGTGTGTGTGTGTGTTCTGTAGGACTCGTGATGCTGTGTGTTCTTCTGCTGGTTCTGCACTGGACGCTGGTCTCCTCGAGTTCGTTCACTAGTGCTGCCCTGCAGGAGGGTGAGTGAAGTGCAACACACACACACACACACACACACACACACACACACACACGAGAGAAGGAATTTAATAATCTCAGATTTTTCTGTAATTAATACATTTTTTCCCTCAATTTCTGGGGATGAATTGAGTAATTATAGGACGCATTAAACTAGGTAATCAAAAGTGACCGTAAAGACATTTATAATGTTACAAAAGCTTTTCTTTTATTTTGGATTAATCTACTTTGATTCTTCTGTTCATCAAAGAGTCCTGACTTGAAACACACATTAATAATCCGAACTGTTTCTTGGGCAGTAAATCACATCCGTATATTAATCCCCGAGGAAGGGTTGGCGTGTTCTGGCGTGTCCGATGTCGGACTTGTGTGACCAATAATCACGTTGAATAAATCGGACCGTGAAAGTGAGTGCGGATCGAACCGTCCAGACGGCAGAGGATCCTGTTGGTCTAATTCTCCATGTGGAGTGTGTTATTGGTATGGTCTGATGAGAGTGGGCTGTGATTGGATGATGACTGACTGGTGTCGTGTGTGTGTGTGTGTGTGTTATCGGTCAGTGTGTATTTAATTGGGATAAGGAGGTCCCGTACGGGACAGATAAACTAGTGCCAGAACACGGGACGCCCCGGCTGATGCAGGACCGTTGGCAAACCCAGGATATAATCACATGGCTATTACAATGTAAACATGGTTAATGAGGACTGTGCGTGTGTGTGTGTGTGTGTACGTCAGGGTGTGTGTGACGAGGGGAAGCAGGTTAGTTTGTTTGTACGAGGGGAAGCAGGTTTTTCCAGTGTGCGTCGACTCGAGTGACGGTTCTGAAAGCACAGCTCATTAAGGGAGTAACGAGACCCTCGTGTCACGATTCGATACACATCACGATACTGAACACACGATACGATATTATTGCGATACTCCAAGACATCTGGTAGAAGTTAACAAAAAATTTACTGTTGATTAAAATGCTAACTTTTATATTACATTATAAGTTTTTTCAGGTGTATACACTACACACTATACACTATACACTACATACTATACACTATACACTACATACTATACACTATACACTATACACTACATACTATACACTATACACTACATACTATACACTATACACTATACACTATACACTACATACTATACACTATACACTATACACTATACACTACACACTATACACTACATACTATACACTATACACTATACACTACATACTATACACTATACACTATACACTACATACTATACACTATACACTATACACTACATACTATACACTATACACTATACACTATACACTACATACTATACACTATACACTATACACTACACACTATACACTATACACTACATACTATACACTATACAGGGAACGAGTGGACGAGTGAGCGGTTTGGGACACAGCTCCAGACTCACTCTCTGATGTTGTGCAACACACTCGTTATATTCAGCGTTGTCCGACTGCAGTGAGCGCACTTGTTTTATATTATTTATATTTATATTTATATTTATAATATACGTGTTCTGTGAGATTTGACCAGAAAAGGTTTGAGAACTGTCGGTGTAGGACACCATGAACTGTTGTTTTGTGTGGTTTCGGTTTGCTCTGTCAGATGTTGACAGTCTCTTCTTCTGCCGGTGATCATGTTTGTCCCGGATCTCGTTCCCGACACACACACCGCATTACTGCAGGGGTTTCACACACACTCGTTGCTCTTCATCCGTCGAGTCGTGTGCAGATCGCAGCGGTCCCACTCGCTCACGCCACTGAACTACAGGAACAACAGTGAACAGCTGTATGTTTATTAAATATCATGAACACAGATTAATAAATGCTGGACAGATGTATTGCTCATGGATAGTTAATGCATAAACTAATGGGCCTTTATTGTAAAGTGTTCATGTTTTTGTACACACACACACACACCTGTATTTCATTTGTTTGTGACTCTTTGTAAAGCTTAAAAGAGATTGAAAGAGAACAATAAGTGGAGATCATATTTCTCAGGGACTGGATCTGCTCGGCTTCATCTTACACGCGTGACGTCCTCAACATTACACACGTTTGTGTTCAATATGTCCTTGAATATTATCAGCTACTGAATTAATGCTTCAAAAGCAAATCTTATTTTTATTGAAGTGTTTATTATAAATTATGTATTAGTGCACATCATTATTGTTTCAATAATCTTGAATCAGAATCAGTTCCTCTTGCAGTATCGGTTCTCTTCTCTGAAGATGTGGGCGGGGCTTTAACCTGTCACTCACAGGAAATAGCAAACCACTCCCCACAGACACAATCAAGCCCCGCCCACGTTTGGCCCTGTTTCTCTCGATGTACGACACACTAGAGGAGAGAAGGCCAAAACTTCCCCTTCACGCCGAGCTGAAGATTACTGGTTTAGATCTGAAGTAAAAATTCTCCCTCCTCCTGATTGGCTGACCACTGTTGCCCACGGCGACCAGACCGCTGTTGCCCACGGCGACGCTGATGACTGTAACTGTATGTAATGAACCAGTGAAGAATCTCCTGCTGAACAGGTCGATTCATAATGCGAATGAAAGGTCGCGAGGTTGTGAAGGAGGTGAAGAAGACGGATCGCCATGGAGACGGAGAGTGTGTGTGTGTGTGTGTGTGTGTAATCTGTGTCACGAGGGTTTCATAACTTGAGTTTCTGCTTCATAAAACTGTGCCTCATTTCTGTTTATGTTTACTCAATCATATGTTGTACCTAAAGGTGAGCTAAACCTCACAAAACCTGCTTTTGAAGATCTCCTCATCTGGAAAAACAATATAAAAATCATACATATTCTGAGTTGTTGTGTTTGCATTATGCTTAAATATTGTATTCGTTTGATGTTTTGATGTGAATGCTTTAACAGCGTTCTGTATCGGCCCCTCGAGGGATTCTGTATGAACTTTAGAAACTTTCCTGAACCTTTAAGCCGGTTTTAACTGCTTTATGACTCGATCACAACACACTCTTTGTGTCTGCCTTTTGTAGGAATGCGTGCTGGCTAAATCAGATTAGCATAGCTGCTAGCATTAGCTCATGTCATAATCTGAAACGGACGGAAATGAGCCAGATGCCTTTGAAAACTGCCTGATGGAGTGTGTTGTGTTGAAGCTGTGTGTAACTGAGTTAGTGTCTGTTGATGAACACGTGCTGTTCGTGTTCAGACAGGACGCTTCAATGTGACTGTCAATCAAACTCCGGCTCCGCCCAGCAGGTTCAGTGGGGTTCATGCCAATAAAGGATCTTTATGAGTAGAAATATCTTAAATGATTGCATAACACTATATTGCCAAACGTTTTGGGACGCCTCTGCACATGATAATCCCATTCCTGATCCGTAGGGTTTGGTACGGGTCATGATAACGGTTCGAACCGTTGACTGTGGACTCGGATGATCCCGGTTCAGCTCCTGAGAGCGACCCAATCCTTCAGAAACGTTTGTAGACGCGTCAGCATGGCTAGTGCTTGATTTATACACATGTGGCCATGGAAGGGACTGGAACACCTGAACTCACTCATTTGGACGCGTGTCCCAATACTTTTGTCAATATAGTGTATACATAATAATAGCTATAATCTCGTGGGTTGTATATTACACTGATGTAGAAATCGTCATGGGTGTAAACTGTGTGTGTGTGTGTTTCAGATGGCACCAGGCCGTTCATTCACCGCTGTCGATCGCCCAACATGGTGGACTTCAGCTGCTGGTGGCGCCCCGTCGAGGAGCAGGACAACATCACCCACACGCTGCAGTACAGGACGGGGTAAGGGTCCCGTCAGATGGCGGTTTATGGAGAGTGTCATCATGAGTCATGTGTGGTGATGTGGTCATGTGATCTCCGCAGCGGCGACGCCCCTCGGGACTGTCCCGACTACACCAGCAACGGCTCCAACAGCTGCTTCTTCGACAGCAAACACACGCAGATCTGGCAGATATACTGCATGACGGTGACGGCGCACACGACCTCGGGCCCGCGGACCTCGCCGAGACACTGTCTGGACGTGGCCGATATAGGTGGGGAACGTCACGTCCTCACACACACCACACGAGGAGTGTGTTATCCTGCCCTACACTCTTACAGGCTCGTTATTGGCATTTACCCTTCAGCAACATCCAGTAAATCTTTCCATTGCACAAAAGGTTCTTAAGATTATTATAATGTTCTTCACTCTAAGAGATTTTTTTTATTAACTCTTTCCCCACCAACATCATTTTCACAAAACCAGAATATTTTGCCGTATAAATATCTGAGCGTGCAATATATCAAAAGAAAGAAGCTTTTATTCCAGCTTCATTCATTATATTTGATCAACACTGTGTGTAAGTTTCATCAAAAAGCGGACAAAATGGTGTGTTTGTCAAAGTCTTCGTCTGAATGATGATGGAGTAGATCGAGTCGTTTTCAGCATTTTATTCAGTAACGTTTTGATTTGTGCGCCGATTAAACTGATGATTTATCGCGTCATAATTTACCTGTGCGTCAGCAATGCTTCGATCGCTCGTTTCTGCTTCTCCTGTGTTTTAATCTGGAGATTTTGTACTCTTTCAGAAGATGTCCATTAGCGCCCCCTACTGTTTAACAGTGGTCACTGTAGCGACCCGGGTTCGAATCCACTGTGAGACACTTAACCCCTAGCTGCTCCAGAGGCGCGCGACCTCTGACACAAGTCGCTTTGGATAAAAGCGTCAGCTAAATGAATAAATGTAAATGAAACACGGATCGCTGGAAATTCAGTCAATGGCAGGGAAAGAGTTAAGAACTGTTTATGGAAGGATCTTGGGAAACCAAAAGCCTCTTTTGAAACCTTTATTTTCAAAGGTCGATTTGCAGCCAGAGTTTCTCCGCTTTATTCCCCAGTAGAGTCGTTTCACAGCAGTAAAGAGGTGGATAGGAGAACAGTTTCTCCGGAGCTCATGTTTCTGTGTGTTTGCGTGTGCAGTGCAGGTCGACCCGCCCTTTAACCTTTCCTACATCATGCTGAACGAGAGCCACTGCGAGTCCTGCCGCTCCGTCACGCTGTCCTGGATGTTCCCCATCGCGGATCTGGTGCGTGAGGGATGGATTACTCTGGTCTACGAGCTGCGCTACAGAAACCTCGCTCAGCCCGACACATGGAAGGTACGACCTCCGCTTTTACAGCACAGTTATGCACATAAATCAACATAATCCTCATCAATTAGGCATCAATCGAAAGCTTAAACTCTCGAAATCTGTTGAAATTGGACATTGTGTTGCCATGGAATCGGGACTTTAAACCCTTTCAGCAGCTTGGCTGGACATACGGCTCTGATTTTACAGGCCAGATTATTCAGTGAATTCTTAGTTCTTCATCAGTCGTACAATAACTCATTAGTTAAGCGTGAATGAATTGAGATTGAGGGCGTGTGGTGTGTGTCCGTAGGTGAAGGAGCGTTTGCAGGAGCCTCATGTTGATTTGTTGGGTCTGCCGGTGGGGAAGTACGAGCTCATGGTCCGGTGCCGGTCCAGAAACAGCAAACACTGGAGCGTCTGGAGCGAGGCCATCACCATCAGCGTCATCGGCAAAACCCTGTCCGGTACACACACACACTCACACACACACACAGGCATTGACTCGTCTCTCACGTATGAAGGTTGCGCTCATGCTCTAAGTGTGTGTGTGTGTGTGTGTGTCAGATCGCTTGTTGGTCTTCATCCTGCTGACCAGCCTCAGCATCATGGTCTTCCTCATCATCGGGTTCGGGTTTATTCCCCAAGGAAAGAGGTCAGTGAGGTACTTTTTTTAATTATTAAAAATAAAAAAGGTTGTTGTAACTTTATCTTCCAATTCCGACTTTATTACTCTTAATTGGTATGTCGTGACGACTCTGGCCGTGTTTGGGACGGTAATGGGTCTGATAATGCTGATATGTTTGATCCCAGTGGAATAGATCGGCGACGCTGCTGTTGCCAACACACACACACACATACACTCGACACGCTGCTGCTACAATAGAAGCAGTCAATCCATATCAAAACATATTAATAATACATTAGAAAAAAACTACATGTAAGGAACAAATAATAAGATGAAATAGAAACACATTCTCACTGAAGTCTGTTTGTGTTCCTGCAGAATCAAAGCGTTCCTCTTACCGCCGATCCCCAAACCGCACATCCGTGGGCTGGAACCGGCGCTGCTGAAGGTCTCGCTGTCCCGTCACACACACACACACACACACACTGACACATCACTAGTGGGCTGAATCTTTTGTAACCTTATAAATGTCTTTAGTGCTGTATTTAATCCTCAGTAATGTTACCGGCTCGTCTGAGCGTTCCTGTGTTTAGTGAGTAAGTCCAAATGAAGAAGCATCTGCTTTACCGTCTGTTCTCTCTGTCCATTTGCCTCCAGAATGGGAAGCTGGAGGAGATCAATCGTCATTTCTCCAGTTTTCACGGCTATAAGTCTCCTCAGTTCTCCATCGAGACGTGGTATCAGGTGAGCGTGGACTCGGGTCCGGCCCTGACGCCCAACAGCTGCCCGTCTCACTGCGAGCCAAAGCCCGTCACCGGCCCCGAGGGACCGCCGGCCCTCCAGTCGAGCTCCAGTCCGAACCCGTACTGCCTCAGTGGCCCCGCCTCCTACTGTGAGGTAGCCACGCCCCCTCCCGAACCTGGCCACGCCCTCCCCGAGCTCTTCGCGGTCCCAGGTGACTTCTACACGTGTGTGACTGGCGTGACGGCCAGCGGGCAGCTTCATCTGGTGCCTCACCTGCCCAACATGCTGAAACACACACACACACACACACCCTACGTGCAGTTTAAGGAGGACGTGGACAAGAGCTGCCAGCTGGTGGCGCTGTTGGAGAAGCAGAAGGAGGAGCTGCAGGACACCGACCCGAGCGAAGCCGCCATGCCTTTAATACCTCATTCATCAGACTGAGCAAACCAGCAAACACTCAGGATCTGCAGCGCACAATCACACACACACACACACACACTAACCCGACCCCTAACCCTACCCATCACACACACACACACACACACACACATGTTCATTTAGCAGTACTTGTGGGGAATCCGGATCGACGGAACGGTTTTTATACTGGACAAACTATATATTCTGTCCCCTTACACTAACCTTACCCATCACACACACACACACACACACACACACACACTAACCCGACCCATCACACAAAACTTTCTGCATTTAAAAAAAAAAAAAAAAACTTTTTTAATATATATGTTTATTATCAATTTTCCTTGTAAGGACCAGCAAAAAATCCTCAGAAAGTAATGAATCTCGAGTGTTACTATCCTTGTGGGGCAGTACATGGCTATACCCACACACTCACACACACACACACATCCAGCAGCTGAACTCAAGGTCTATCAGTGTATTTTCACACGAGCCGTTGAAGCCAAACCCGCTGATGTCCAGTTTCAGGAAACCATCTGAAGCAAAACACACTCACACACACACAGACTAACACACACACACACTCAGATATTAACAATCATGTGAATATTTTTTCAACGGAGGACAGCCGAGTTCATTCACTGTGATTGATGGGTGATACCGTCGTCGGCCCTTCGCTAACTCGAAGCGTTTACAAGCCATGAACACAAAAATATGCACAACAAGCACACACTAGAGCGAGTGTGGCGGCGAACGCCAGCGATCTGGAGATCAGTGTGTTTCTGAGACTCATCAGGCTAAACATGAATTAAGCTGTTATAACACGGGTGCGTCGTTTGCTGGATGAGCGAGTGATGATGTCACGGATGTACGGTGTGATGATGTCACGGATGTACAGTGTGATGTCACGGATGTAAGGTGTGATGTCACAGATGTACGGTGTGATGATGTCACGGATGTTAGGTGTGATGATGTCACGGATGTAGGGTGTGATGATGTCACGGATGTACAGTGTGATGATGTCACGGATGTAGGGTGTGATGATGTCACGGATGTACAGTGTGATGTCACAGATGTACGGTGTGATGATGTCATGGATGTAGGGTGTGATGATGTCACGGATGTTAGGTGTGATGATGTCATGGATGTACGGTGTGATGATGTCATGGATGTGACTTTATAAAATAGTGTCATACATAAAGAGAGATTCATATTAATGTTACAGTAATGTGAAGCTGTGTGTGTGTTTGTACGATGTGGGTGTGTGTGAGAGCTTCTGTGGTGTGTGTGCACTGGTTGTATATGTGTGTGTGCATTAGAGAGACTGAAGCACTGTGTTATTTGTTCAACACTGTTTCTCTTTATTTGCACCTGTGTGTCGGGAAACGTGCTCCTGCTTTTCCTCTCTGATGATGATGATTTCTCGTTGCCGTGTCGTGTCTGTGCCTTTAATCGTGCGCTTTCTCCTGTAAATGTACATAAACACTCCTGACGCACTGATCACATGAACTACAGTTACACATTAGAAAGGTTCTGATATTTTTAAAGAGAGATTTATACAGTATTAAATGTCACAGAAATGCAGTATATATTCTAACTATAACACTTTTTTGTACATTAGAATATTTTTGTGTGCTATATTCTGTAAGCTTTTGTTTCTGTCCTCTGTTTTGTCATCTGTGGATCACATCCCCGTGTGATCGAATAAAGCCGTGAGCTGACGGACAGTGTGTGTGAGCACCAGTTTCTCTGAGCTTTATTTACTTTTCACTGAAACTATATTATATTAGTTAAAAAAGCGTTTTTCTCAGAGCAAAGAACATTTTTATAATCTAAAGAACATTTTGTAGAAATAAATGTTCCATGGATGTTAAAGATTCTTCATGGAACCACAGATGCCAACAAACAACCTTTATTTTTAAGAGTATACACACAAAAATACACACACAAACACACATTCACAGACACACACACACATGGAGCAATAAAATCAGGGCCTGCTCAATATTAATTCGATCACGTGACTATAGGCTGCTCAAGCAACAGCATCAAACATTCATATTCACGAGCTGAAGCCTCCTAAACTCACTTCCAGTTCCGTGCGGTAAAAGGCTCGTCACACACACACACACACACACACACACACACACACACACAGACACACACAGACACACACACATCATGTCCCGTTAATGTATCAGATCCCGCCACAGCGGCAGTCGAGCAGAAGCGCGAGTCGTAATGAGATGTAAACAGACGACTGGTGTCCGACATCTTGTGGAAGTCTCGCCGTAGTCAAAGATCCATTCAATTCAAATTACTCTGAAATCAGGACACAGCGCACTTATACATTTCATTTTTATTTCTATTTAGTTGTATATTTCTCACTCCATCAGTGTAGTTTAGTTCATGTAGTCTATAGGCCTATGTCACATTAATGCCGGTGAATTTAAAGACTTGAGGTACGACCATAAAGGCTAAAACTAAATATCGTTTACAATTTTATTTTTTCAGGAATGTTGTTTTAATTTTCTAAAATGTAGCTTTAGTCTTTTGCAATAATAATCATTGGATGTAATGTAAGATGCAAGAAGTGGCATTCCCTCCCTCTCATTCCAGCGCTCGTTACAGATCTCCTTAATGAAGAACATTCACAGAGAAGCGAGAGTCTCACACACACACACACGCATTACAGACTCCATTATCAGCAATCAGCCAATCAGCGCTCGTGTCTCGGACTCACACAGGCTCGTTAGACCCGTCGAGACGAGATGAGTGTAGAGATGAGTGTGTGTAGAGGGATCTGATGAAGCGGACAGATCTCCGTCATGATGAATGAGATACACACGCGAGTCACACAGTGTGTTGTTTATGTAGATCTACTGTATATGTGTACGGCAGAGCTCGAGATCCAGAAATGCATCTCAGGCCAGTCTCATGAAGAAATGCAGCTGACCACACTATAATCAGTAGAACACAACAATACGTAGACTTTTAAAAGTAAGGTTTGTTGCTGATGCCAAAGATCTGAAACGTCATCAGCATCTGCCGTCCTGATGCTCTCGTCCTCATAAACCAGGAACACACACACCACTCAGGTGACACACAGTTTGTTTTTGCTGAGGTGAGTATCATCAGCTGAGAGCACAACACCGTCATGATTCAAGACACATTTAAAAAGACTTGACTTGAGCTCGGCTGGAGCCGGTTCACGTTTAAGAAGAACTGCAGTCGCTGCCTCATTCCTCATCTACGAGTCTCGGCCTGGGCTGTCAGGGCCCTGAATGTGTCTTCAACAGCTGGAAAGAGGAACCGCTTCTCTACTCTTGTGGAAGGAGATCCTCACGGTGAACGATCCTGATATACGGGGATCTCCAACACGAGATGATGATAGAGAACAACACACACCCTCCGACATCAGTGCAAGCTTCATGCCTTCGAGCTCTCCCTGATCAGGTGAGTGTGTGTGTGTGTGTGTGTGTTAACTTGTGTCAAGTTAAGATGATGTGTGAGTGAATCATATGGAAATAAAGCAGGAATAAAAGAGGACCCTCATGACATTATCATCTAACGATCTGATATTGTACTCGGGTAATATAAAGGGTCATGTCATTCTTCTAGATTGGAGACTGCATGTGATTCTGACCTTCAGCCACCAGAGGACACTGTTGAGTCTTATTATGAATAATGCAAATCAGCTGCATAGTGTTGATTGGTCCAATAATTCAAATATGCTCATTAGTCCTGACTGGTGGATTGGTCACCATTACTATCACATGATCAAATCATCTCCTGTGCGTGTGTGTGTGTGTGTGTGTGTGTGTGTGGTTATATGTGTGTGTTGCCACTCCCTCATCATATTCTTCTTGTCAAACCAGTTTCTCTGGATCTGATGCAAATCAGTGTGTTTTTCAGTAAAATGGCGAGAAATTAGTTTCAAGAGTTCACAAACAGCATCTAACATTGATTCTAGTCAACAAAAGTCATTTTTTTCTTGTTTAGTGTCCATTTGGACGAGTTTTCTTCCTCTTGAGTAGATGTGGGTGCCGCAGCACTGTGGTCTGTGTGACTTCTTTAGCATGAAACTGTGAGACACACACACACACATAAAGGCATCAGGCAAGCCGAGACTCGTGCGGGGCGGGACTTCAGCGACCTGAGTTTCAGTGTGTTCAACATCTCCAGTTCCTCCACACACCTGTGACACACACACACACACACACTCGAGAGATGGCGGCCACACCGGGGACGCTGGCGGTTCTGCTGCTGATCAGCGGTGAGTGAGCTTTCGTCTGTGTGTGTGTGTGTGTGTGTGTGTGTGTGTGTTTACTCATTAGGTCAAACCTCCAGACCCAGTCGAGCTGCAGATCTCATCAGCTGAGGAACCCTCGTTCAGGAAGGCTTGTGTTGGGCTGCTCACTCTTCATGTGCTTCTGAATGTAATATAATAACCCAAGCGCATCGTTAGTCAAACAATCTCTAACAGAATACAGTTCAGCCGGCGTTATTCAGCGTGATCGAGTGATTTATCTGCATCTGTAGGCCCTTCCACAGAACAGCAACTCTGAGCCAACGCCCAGACGAGCTTCACACGGAAACACACACACACACACACACACACACACACACACAAGCTCTACAGAGTAAAAGATCTCAACTGTCCACATCAGTCCTGTACTCGCTCTGCTCAAGTGAACTCCTTTAGGTCTCGTGATATGTGAAGAATCTGAGCAGTAAAACGTTTAATTAACTTACATTTTCGTCATAACTTTACAGATATGCTAGTCTGGCCTCAGGCCGTCGGTGTTCCCGCTTGGCGGGTTCGAGAGTCACCAAAGCTGTGTTTATCTGATCAAAAATACAGTAAAAACTGTGAAATATTATAATAATGTAAATCTGCTGCTGTCTATGTGAATATGTAATTTATTATTCTGTGATCTTTATCATCATTACTCCAGTCTTCAGTGTCACATGACCCTTCAGAAATCACTGAGGATCTGATGATCAACACACAGTTATGATTATTATCTGTCTTAAACACAGTTTTGCTGCTTCTGACATTTTATTGTTCAGAGTTCTTTGATAAATAGAAAGTTCAGAAGAACTGTATTTATTAAAAAAAACATAATTTGTAAATGTTTTTACTGTCACTTTTGTGACAATGCAATGCATCATTGATGAAGAAAAGTATTACAGAAACTGAATGACCACAAACGTTTGAATGGTAATATATCACAGTTTCAACTAAAAAGGAAGTAAAAACAGTTTCAGCGTTGAGAACGGTGTGTGTGTGTGTGTGTGTGTGTGTGATGTCTGATATACAGGTGTGTGAGTCTGATGTTGTGCAGTGTTAAATGTATTTCCCTATAGTTGCTGAAGTGTGTGTGTGTGTGTGTGTGTGTTTCACAGGAGTGCGGGTCGCTTCTCCGGCCATGACTGTGACTATACCAGCTAAAGAATATAAGATTGCGAGAGGTGATGATGTGACGATCCCCTGCAGATTCACTCCGCAGCCGACGAATCACAACGTCCAGATCTCGTGGAGCGCGGCTGCAGACTCGCCGGACCAACCCACGGTACTGGACGCTAGCACCCGCTCTGCTAGCACTGATCCCACCGCTGCGCTCATGTGTTCATGTTGTGTGCTTATACATTTCACAGATTAAAATCCTCACTTCAATCAAAGTGCAGACGAAATATAAAGGCCGAGCGAGTCTATTGCAAGATATCCCGGCCGGAAAAGCAGATCTGCAGCTCCTGAAGGTCACCAGTGCGGACACGCGCGTCTACGAGTGCGGGGTGGAGAACCTGAGTAACGAGGAGGACGGGCAGTCTGCCAACACCAAACTCATAGTCTTGGGTAAGACACACACACACACACACACACACACACACACACACACACAGTGATCACTTCAGATGAATATTTTGAGAATTTCAGTCAATTTCCTCATTTGAAGATGTCATGTGACAGAAATGTCAAATGTCTTCTAATAACGGAGGCATGTCGCAAAACAAATTCCGATGGAGTGATCTGGACACGACTACTTGCCACATAAACAATAGTTAGACCTAGACAAGAAAATTGATAAGAACAAACAAACAAGTTAAGACATTTAAGAGATTATATACATTTCCATCACGTTTCTTCTGTTTATTATCTTATAATCATTTCCATCTACAAATCAATCATTCTAGCAACACGAACACTTCAACAGTATTACAGAGAGAGAGAGAGAGATGTACAGTGCTGGTTGTTGAGTGTTAAGATGTAGCTGTGGTGTTGCAGTGGCTCCCTCGACGCCCGTCTGCAAGATCGAAGGGACGCCGGAATACTTTCAGGACATCAAACTGAGCTGCCACTCGGAGGAGGGGACGCCCACCCCGACCTACAGGTGGCAGAGCTACGACACCACCAACAGACCCCGCCCCAACCCGGCCAAGGCCACTGACGGTACGTCTGAGTGTGTGTGTGTGTGTGTGAGCTCAAATACATGTCAAAGCCTCTCGACTCTCCCTCAAGCCATCCTAGTATAGGTGTATACGACATTCTACTTTCTGACGAACACAAATCAACTTATTTAAAATGTCCTTCGAGTTTAAAGGGTTAGTTCACCCAAAAATGAAAATTCTGTCAGTATTTACTCGCCCTCATGTTGTTCCAACCCTGTAAGACCTTCGTTCATCTTCGCAACACAAATTAAGATATTTAAGATATTAAGATCGCTCCTGCATACTAGTCCATAGGCTTCTTGACTCGAAAAGTCATTAAAGACATCGTTAAAATAGTCCAAGTGACTACAGGGGCTCAATCTTAACTTTATCAAACGACGAGAACACTTTTGTGCGCAAAAACAACAAAAATAACGACTTTATTTCAACTATTGGTTTATTTCTCCCTCTGCGCGAGTCAGGTTACTAGTTTAATAGCGTAAGCTTCTGTTATTGTATGTCACACGCATCACACACATGACCAGCGTCGGCCAATAGTGAGCCTTCGTGTGACGTATCTTTACGCAATCACACTACGCTAACTGACTACAGGCCCATGGAGAAGGAAGTGAATAGTTGAAATAAAGTCGTTATTTTTGTTGTTTTTGCGCACAAAAGTGTTCTCGTCGTTTGATAAAGTTAAGATTGAGCCCCTGTAGTCACTTGGACTATTTTAACGATGTCTTTAATGACTTTTCGAGTCATTCCCTCAAGAAGCCTATGGACTAGTATGCAGGAGCGATCTTAATATCTTAAATATCTTAATTTGTGTTGCGAAGATGAACGAAGGTCTTACAGGGTTGGAACAACATGAGGGTGAGTAAATACTGACAGAATTTTCATTTTTGGGTGAACTAACCCTTTAATAATGGCAGTGAATGGGCACCATTTTAAGTCAAACCAATAGTGAGCTGGGCTAAAAACTCAAGCTCCTCCCACATTTCTCTTTAAATATTCTCGTTTTAGACTTTAATTTATGTCTGGTGTCTCGACAGATGCACTTTTCTGCACTTCATAAAAATGGTGCCCATTCACTGAAAGCTTGAACGAGCCTGGAGATTTTTTAATAGAACTGTGATTGTGTTCGTTTGACAGAAGAATGTCATACACACCTATGGCTTGAGGGAGAGTAAATCGTGAGTTTTCCTGCATCACATGTGTGTGTGTGTCGTCTCTCCTTAGTAAACGGAGTTTTGTCGCTCTTCAATGTTACCAAAGAAACGTCTGGTTTCTACACCTGCACGTCCACCAATGAAATCAGATCTGCATCGTGTAATCTGACCCTGGCCGTCATGCCACGTAAGAACAGCAGCTTTTCCCGAAGACCTGATCAGCCGTGACTTTAGTCCTGACTAACTAACCTGCTGTTCTCTGTGTCTTAACCCCGGCTAGCGTCCATCAGCATGGCGTCGGTCGGCGGGTTCATCGGAGCCGGTGTGGCCGTAGTGGTTGTCATCGGGATCATCTGCATCTGCTGCTATTGCTGTCGGAGGAGGAAGAAGAAGCTTGAGGAATACGCCATGGGGTACGGCAGCAGAACACCCACATCTCCTCCAGCGCCGCGCGGATGCTAACCTTTATTCCTGTGTGTTTGGCAGGAGTCACGACGGAGGAGAGTTCACAGACAAGGACCCTGAGGAGAAAGAGGACGCTCCGGAAGAACTCGTCAGCTACGAGGAAGAACGCCGCGTGAAAAGCGCCGACAGACTTGATGTGCAGGACAACCGTAGCGAGAGGAGCTACGACCGGCGCAGCGACTACACCGACCGACGAGACGACTACAGCGACCGGCGCGAGCGCTACGATCGAGATGATCGCTACGATGACCGCCGCGACCGTGACCGCGACCGCGACCGCTACGATGACCGCCGAGATCGCTGCGATGACCGCCGCGACCGATACGATGACCGGCGAGGTCGTGACGATGACCACTACGACAGCGACCGCTACTCCGAGCGCTACGACAGCCGCGACAGACCTCCTAGCGTTCCGCCCACTAAACCCAGAGACCCGAGAATCTGAGTTCAACAGACACTGATTCATTCCTCAGCCACAGAAGCACAATCATATGAAAGATTCATCCTCTGGTACATCATAATTATGACATCAGAATATTAATATATCAAAATTGACACTCTAAGTCAAGTTTTTGATTAAGATTCACTAAAGTATTGCAACAACAAAAGTTTATCCCCATATTCTGAATATTAGATTTGATAGAATGAAAGGGCTTTAATAAATCTAACGCTGGAGAAAGCAGCCGACGCACACCAGTGTCCTGATCCTGCATGAGGCGATGATGTGATGTATGGACTTCACCGCTGGTCATGTGTTCTGACAGGCCAGGTCTCATATTTAAGTGTCTTTCTCTATTTTTACGACTCTTTTTACGTTTCTCTGTTGATGTTTCGTCTGGGTTTTCCTTGAATTTATGTCTTCTTAATCTCTTAATATTCATATAGTAGGAATAAATATTGGTGAATCTTTTTTTTAGCCCATTGCTTTATTTTTGTATTGTTTCAAAATAAAACATTCAAGCTTGTGTTGGTAGATTAACTGGTTTCACCAAAGTTCCTCATGCAGCTGATTTAGTATTCAGGCTTCCGTCTTACAAAGTGCCAAACTGCTCAGCACTGGTCATCAGACGCCTAACTAACCCGTGCTCAGCTCAGCACTGGTCATCAGACGCCTAACTAACCAGTGCTCAGCTCAGCACTGGTCATCAGACGCCTAACTAACCCGTGCTCAGCTCAGCACTGGTCATCAGACGCCTAACTAACCAGTGCTCAGCTCAGCACTGGTCATCAGACGCCTAACTAACCCGTGCTCAGCTCAGCACTGGTCATCAGACGCCTAACTAACCAGTGCTCAGCTCAGCACTGGTCATCAGACGCCTAACTAACCAGTGCTCAGCTCAGCACTGGTCATCAGACGCCTAACTAACCCGTGCTCAGCTCAGCACTGGTCATCTATCATCCGGCAGCTTCACATCTGTAATTCATCGTTATGAAAACTGTCCCTGTTGTTCACGTCAGTCTGTGAGTTTTGCATCCGGACATTTAATTTAAATTGTTAGTAAATGTAATTATTCTTAAACATTAAATTAGGATCATGTCATGGGAAATACCTGTATATGACATAAATGTATTGAACAACATGGAGAATCTCATATATATTATTTTTGATGTTTTTATTGTATTCAATGATTTGTACATTATACTGTATGTTCTGATATCGTTTCCATGCTGTTTATTTTATAAGTTGTAATGATATTATTAAAGCCATGTTTTTATTACAGTAATTTCTCAGTTTGATGGTATTTTTGGATGGTATGATATTATCGGACTATTCAATACTGAGATGATCTGGAAGAAAGCACAACATTATTTACAAATTATTATTATCTTATCTTTCTTATCTTCAGACTAAGGGCCCTGGCACGCAGTTTTCAGTTCCCATATTCTAACACTTCTCATCTATGTCTACCCACAAGTAAAACACATATGTCATTTAAAAAACAACTAAACATGTTTTGCTCTTGATGCAAGCAAAATTATCTATTTCTGAGAAGAACATTCTGTCCTTTTCTATTTATTTATTTATTTATTTATTATTATTATTTTTTTTTTTTACAAAATGTTCTATTACAAAGTGAATCAATCAAAACTTACTTTAGCTGGACAATAACTTAATTCTAGAGCTGCTGTAAAGCCAAAACAATGGCTAATGTTGACGTCGGATGGGACCAAATGTCTGTGGACGTTTTTTCAACATCAAATTTAGTATCTTCTATAACTGTAGTCCCATGTTTCAAAAGGGTAGAAGATGATTTCTGTGCCATATATTTACATTTATGCATTTGGCAGACGCTTTTATCCTGCAGTGACTTACACTGCGTTACACATTTACATTCCCATTCCATTGCTTTCACAGGGAACCGAACCCATGATCTTGGTGTTGCACTAGGTGGCGTCACACAAGCGCCAACGCTCTACTGGTACAGCGCTACACCTTCATGTGTGTCATTACCACCTTTTGGTTGAGACAATCAAATTAAGTTTTTGGAAATTATCTTAAATAATTATAAATAATCTGATACATTTTCGTATCAATCATGTTTATAACAACAATGTTTATATTTGTAAATAAAACAAATATTAATCACGTAAACTGTGTAATAGACGTCCGAATAAGGTAAAAAAAAAAAAAAGAAAAAAAAAAGACCGCGTTCAGTCCAATGTTGAACATCAATGACGCCAAAGTTGGGTCATGGTTGGACGTCCAAATAGGAGACCTAGTTTGGACGTTGAATAGATGTCCAGAATAGGTCATGGACCGACGGACCCACATGATCTGCACGTGTGATGACCGAATTTTCCTTTTAGGAGTGCCAATTCACGGTCAATTGACTGGTTATGTTGGAATACCAGTCCACAAAACAGCAATCATACTAAAGAACATTATTCATATCAACAGATTCATAATAAATGAGCTAGAAAGGGGGGAACAAAAAACAAAAAAACTGTCAAAAATCAATGGTTTCTGAAACTTGCCAAAGGCAGACCGTGACCTGCTAGTGGCGGCTACCATAGATATCTATATAAAGGCTAGATGTCTCACGGCGGACTATTTATCGTCATCACTGGCGGCCATCTTGTCACAGACAGGCTTTCTGGCGGGCTCTGTGGTATCTGATGTAAGAAATACTCGTCTTATCTCGTTGAAATCTTGACGGATTTACAAACGGTTTGGTTTCTTACAAACGTTATTAATGTGGCTATAATTCTGGATGATTATTTATTTATACACTTATTATTAATAATTATGCATCATAACTACATCTCTGCCGTTTATAACAAACCAGACCGTTTGAAAATCGGTAGAAAATTGAGCAAGTTACGGTGATTTAAAAAGTACATGCACCATTAAAACAATGTTACCAGTGAACGAGCTGCCTGTGACAAGATGGCCCCCAGGTGCAGACGTCGACCTCCCAGCAGCGCGGACGAATATCTACCTTTATATAGATATCTATGGCGGCTACTGCCAGCCAGTGAAAGATTGAACCCCTACTGATTATCCCTGCGTTCACAATAGTAGGCCTAGCTATAGGCTATTTTACTGGTTAAAAATCCATTTGACCATCGTGTTTAATCAATAAACAATGCAAAAAACAAGTAAGTTTTGAACCTGTTGTGTTAGACAAAACCACATGACACACTGGCTGCGTCCAAAACCGCATACTTCCCTACTATATAGTATGGAAAAAGCAGTAGGCGAGCGAATAAGTATGTCCAAATCCTTAGTATCCATAAAAGAGTAGGCGAGAATTACCAGAGTGACGTACTAATTATCGCGAGATTAGGGCATACGTATACTTATAGTACGTCCGAATATTCCTACTTTCGTACTATATAGTAGGGGAAAACAGTATTTGAAAGGAGTAGTATGTCCGAAACCTCAGTACTCATAAAAGAGTAGGCGAGAAGTTCCCGGATGATCTCCTGCTTTCGCCCCGATTTTTGAGTGTTCATCCGATTGATACTCTTCTATCCCAGGAGGCCACGGGAGAGCATACGTCATTATCAACATCGGAGATCAGCAGGGGTTTTCAAATGTGAGTAAACACGGTTTCTTGTGTTTAAATCGTATGTGTTAAACTACTATAGAGTAAACGTTTTAACTGTTGAAGGTCTAAAGGACTTAGACAGTATAGTATAGTTGTGATTTTGCTGTAAACACATGTTTTATTAGTTAGTTAAACTGGGGAGCTCCAGTAAGTACGCTACACGTAAGTTTCTAAAATGGATTTACATAACCATATAACGTTACATCTTAAATACGCTTATTTAAAATGTCTATTTACATCTGAAATGAAAATATTGTTTAAGTATTGCAGATGAGCACATCCCAACATGAAAAATACATCTGAGTGATGTAACGTTATGTGTGCTATTAATATGAAGGATAATTCACTGTTGTCAACACTACTTACATTAGACAAATGTACTGTAAATAAGGTAAATAAACAAATCTATAAAGTAACTAAATATGTTATATTTAATTTGTCCCTTATTAGTGTTGATATATTGAGGAACATTTAAGTTGGATTAAAAGTGAGTTAACACATCAACCTCAGCATGTAAATTCAGTGTTGAACTCGTAATGTGAATCTTGTCTGTATGTTACAGGGACAGAAGAACACGCGTGTGTTTATCTGCTGGAGAGAGGCTCATGATGCTGAATGCTGTCATGAAAGGCTCTGAGTGAGTATACTACAGAAATGGATAACAAAATCTATTCAATCTTAAATTGTAGTTTATTTGAATTATTGTACAAATTTCAAGTCGAGAAATTACAACACTTTTCTGATTCTTGATTTCTGTGCATTTGCTGCATAGCTTTTGTGGTGGAGCAGGACCTGCAAGGAAAGATGATGGCAGCATTTGTTTTAGGGATTTTACTCAAATATAAAGTAAGGTTATTTTTAATACATAAATCAAATGACATTGTGTTAAAATTACTGCTTTTGTATAATGTTTGTGCATTTTTGTAGGATCTGAAATGTCTGCAGACTGGTGTGAGCACTGAGGATGAGGAGCCTAGAGCTGCATCCTGGAAGTGGTGCCATGGATGAGACGCTCCATCTGTCCACCTGCCCTTACAAGACCCTCTATCTCTCCACCTGCCCTTATTGCCTCAGATTGTGAAGCGCAGCGCAGCAACAAGCTCCGGGACGAAGGCACAGTCCCCTCTGGTGAATTCATCAGAATAAAGCCGCAGAATGGGAACCGCTGTGTTGAGTCGGCAGTAGGTTATGGTGTTCAGCCCTGTAAATACATGTTTGTAGTTTGAATAAAGCTTTGTTTCATGTGTTGTTGACTTGTATAATGCATTTGTTTATTGTGATGGTTACTTTTATTTGTTCTTTTACTCATTTATTCATTTTTATTATTGTTGTCAGTATATAAAATTGAATTATTTAATGTATCCATTAATTCATCGATTGACTGATAATTGAGATGTTTCACTGCATTTATGAATATAAATTTATTCATGCATAACTGTCATATGACAAAACAAATTACATTTTGCTTGTTATATTAAATTATATTTTTAGTATATAAAAAAGTTATATAATTAAGTATTGGTCAGCATTTAATATTATTATTTTGTTTAAGTTTTGGGGTGGGCTAACAATGCAATTCATTCTGAGGTAATATTAATTTTTAAGGAGTGATACTTACATTTTTCGAGTATAAAATCAACAGTTTTCTCCAAAAGAGATCTTCGAGCAGCTGCCCGTCTCCTTTGTGCAGACATTACAAACGCATAGGAAAACTGTTCTAGGTTGTGCTGTCGAGTCACTGATGTTATGAAGTGTTAGTACACCTGTCACTCATAATTTAAACTTATAAACGTATTACATACAAGATCATGGAAAGATACCATAATAGTCATAATGACAAAACAGAAAACATAAAGATCATTGGTTTGTTTACATCATAATACAGGAAAAAGGAACAATAACAAGGCTAAATATCTTTAAATAGTTCTTCATAATACATGAAAAATGTTGTTGTTTTGTTGTTATAGGTCTGAGGGATGAAACGAGGTAAATTCATCAAGAAAAGGAGGAAAACTTAAAGGAGAAACGTTTTGGGTATAAAATAAAGAAATTAACAACATATATTCAAGAGGTGACGATTTGGGGGTTTCTTAATAAAAAAAATATCAGCTGTTTCTTCAACAATACCACAACAAAATGAGAAAGTTTCATCAATGTCAAGATATTTATAGATAGAAGAATTAAACGTGTCGCTGTTCATTTCTTTGCGCTTGTGATATGATGATAACACGTCGTAGTAGGTCACATGATAACGTCAACATGGCAGATGTCCGGTTCTCATTCATACTCAACGAGATTTGGCTATAAAGTACCTACTCTTTTAGCGCTCGTTGAGTAAGTACTTATTGAAATTAAGTACCTACTCATTGAGTATGCGGTTTTGGACGCAGCCATAGCGTGTGACAACATGCCCCGGCCGACTCACACACTAATACACCGATATAACACTAAAACACTAGAGGGCGAAATCATTATTGATTCAAGTCTAATATCAAACTTCTTGAATTAATGCTTTAGAGTCATGATGATCGTCTTTAAACTTTTTTACCGGTTTAGTGTGGATTTGTGAAAAGCTGATAATGTAACGGGAACATTGACGTAAAATGTAAAAATACATAATTTCTTACAATTGTTTTTTTTTTTTGTCATATTATATATATTCATATATATAATGTATACATAATGATATATGTATATAATAATAATATATACAATGAAAGTGTGATATTTTGTTGAAAATAAAACCCCTCCTTGCAAGTCCTCGGTAACGCGCTCTGGGTGGCGCGCGCCTCCGTTCACTCAGACCCGTTACTCGCGAGACGCAGAAGAGACGGACGGAAAATGAAGCGAAAAACACGAGGAAAACACGATCGGAATTCTGCTACGGGTAACGGAACGGAACGGTTTAGAAGGATTTCACTCGTCAGATGCTGGATTTCACTCCTGGCGTTCACAGGTGCGTCACTTTCTGGGAGTTTGGAGAAGTTGAGCGGCAACAACAGGTTGTTTTCACTCTTCACACGGTTTACAGTCCAGCAACTCCACTAACTCGGTTTTGATTCGGGAATCTTGAAGCGGCTCTTAGCGACTCTACTGTAAATGTGACGCACTGACGCCTGATATTTATCAGCACATTCACTTCATGTGATTCACATTTATTTTAAGGTTTATTTTGTTGTATTTGGTAAGTTGGTCCGTGAGCGAAATACAGGAGAGGAATATTGAAGCTGCATCCACTGTCTTACATAAATCAGCATAAAATGATCATCTTCAGTTGTTGAAATATTTAAGTTGTCAGCAGTTGTTTTATTACCATGGTAACGGTGTAAAACTGCTTACAGAGCAGTACCTCAGTGTTTGTGTGGGGGTTTCTGAGCTTAACTAGTGTAATGTTGTGGTTGATGTCTAACTAAAGCCTCTGTAATCAGGAGCAGAACTGCTCTAACCCTGAGATTCCGTCAAATCAGTGCAAACAGTTACAGTCACAGCATATCTCATCTCAGTCACAGCTCAGGTGTGTTTCAGCTCAGGTGTGTTACAGTTACAGTTACAGCTCAGGTGTGTTACAGTTACAGCTCAGCTCAGGTGTGTTACAGTTACAGTCACAGCTCAGGTGTGTTACAGCTCAGCTCAGGTGTGTTACAGCTACAGCTCAGCTCAGGTCTGTTACAGTTACAGTTACAGCTCAGGTGTGTTACAGCTCAGCTCAGGTGTGTTACAGCTCAGCTCAGGTGTGTTACAGCTCAGCTCAGGTCTGTTACAGTTACAGTTACAGCTCAGGTGTGTTACAGTTACAGCTCAGCTCAGGTGTGTTACAGTTACAGTTACAGCTCAGGTGTGTTACAGCTCAGCTCAGGTGTGTTACAGCTCAGCTCAGGTCTGTTACAGTTACAGTTACAGCTCAGGTGTGTTACAGCTACAGCTCAGCTCAGGTCTGTTACAGTTACAGTTACAGTTACAGCTCAGGTGTGTTACAGCTCAGCTCAGGTCTGTTACAGTTACAGTTACAGCTCAGGTGTGTTACAGTTACAGCTCAGGTGTGTTACAGCTACAGCTCAGGTGTGTTACAGCTACAGCTCAGCTCAGGTCTGTTACAGTTACAGTTACAGCTCAGCTCAGGTGTGTTACAGTTACAGCTCAGGTGTGTTACAGTTACAGCTCAGCTCAGGTCTGTTACAGTTACAGTTACAGCTCAGGTGTGTTACAGTCACAGCTCAGGTGTGTTACAGCTACAGCTCAGCTCAGGTCTGTTACAGTTACAGTTACAGCTCAGGTGTGTTACAGCTCAGCTCAGGTGTGTTACAGTTACAGTTACAGCTCAGGTGTGTTACAGTTACAGTTACAGCTCAGGTGTGTTACAGTTACAGCTCAGCTCAGGTGTGTTACAGTCACATTGGACCAGCGTTTATACAGTTTTACTGTAAGAAATTATATTTATATCTCTCCTTACTCGAGTCGTTATCCTATCGCATTACTTTTAAGACCTGAAAAAACTGTCTTTCTGTCTGTCTGAACTGTCTGAAGACTAAGACCTGAATACAGGACACTAAATCTGTTAATTTTGTTACAGAACAAGTTTCCACAGCAGTCTCATTTGATGAACTACAGAGTTTTAGAAATTTAAAAGCCTCCAAAGTAAAAAACTGAACAAACACAACCTAAATCTGAAACCCTTTCTCATCAAACACATGGTCTGCTCCCGTTACCAGTGAACACTCCCTGCTGCTGCTGTCTTACTCTCTCTCTGTCTGGCTGAATCCCACAGGTCATATTTAAACCAGCTGTTTCTGGGTGTGTGTTAGTTTATAAACCCAACACAATCTGAGACGCTCTTCTGTTGACTGACTAATGATCGCAGATATTCAGAAGCTCAGAGCAATGTGTGTGTGTGTGTGTGTGTGTGTGTGTGTGGGAAGCATATGGAATGTGTTTGTTCATAGTTTGAGTATGTATTTTTAAATGTTCACCTTGTTCATGTCATGAGGAGTAACAGTTTTGTCAGTGTAATCTCTGTGATGAACTGATAAAGCTGATATCCATCCCTTATTCTCATATTCCCGTTTCCCTGAAGAAGAATGTCACATAATGAAAGATAAATGTTGTGGACACTGATTCACATGTACTAACTGAAGTGTAAGAAGTGTTGGTGCCTGAATGTGTTTAAGCGAGCGGTGTGTGCTGAGTCAGTGATGATGATAATGACAGAAACACACACTCCCCGTCTCAGTTTCTGTGGCTTGTTTGTGAAGCTCATCTGTGTTTCTCTTGTGTCGATGTCAGCGGTGTCGCGGGGTGAGGCCGTGCAGGTCTCGGTTCGTGACGAGCGCCGCTTCGCCATGCTCTTCCAGCCGGTGGTCCTGCCGTGTCAGTACACCAGCGTCTCCTCGCAGACTCCAGTGGTCCAGTGGTGGTACAAGTCGTACTGTCGCGATCGCACGCGCGACGCCTTCCGCTTCCCCGACGCGCTGGCGCTGCACGGCTCCGAGCTCGGCTCCGCGGTGCACCTGGACTGCGGAGACACCGGTCGCACCGTGAGGATCGTGGCGTCGGGTCAGGGATCCTCCATCACTCTGGCTGAGCACTACAAGGGGCGGGACATCTCCATCATCAACAGTGAGTCAGCTCAGCTGTCAATCAAACACTTGACTCCCTGTCAATCAAACACTCGACCCTCTGTCAATCAAACACTCGACTCCCTGTCAATCAAACACTCGACTCCCTGTCAATCAAACACTCGACTCTCTGTCAATCAAACACTCGACTCTCTGTCAATCAAACACTCGACTCTTAGCTCAGCAGACGAGATGTCCGTCATGACTGTTGAGCTCCATGAGGGTTTGTCAGATTAAAAAACTCTTTTACAGAAGTGACCTGGTCAAGATGAGCAGCACAACATTATCAAAAAAGTAAAAATAAATAAATAAATACACTCTAAAAAATGCTGGGTTGTTTTAACCCAACTTTGGGTCAAATATGGACTAACCCAGCTGTTGGGTTAAATTTTTACATTACATTTTTAACCCAACATTTCGGGTTTGTCCATATTTGACCCAAAATTGGGTTAAAACAACCCAGCATTTTTTAGAGTGTAAGATAGTAAAGAAGAAACAGAAAATCCCCCTAACATCAAAACATACCGACAATTATGACATAATTATAATTTACTCACCACTCAACTATGAGTGGTGAGTAAATGACGACCGAATCATTAGTTTAACGAGCTTTAGATGTCTGTAAGTTTTGAAAAGCTCCCTGAATG